TTACGTCTTTATTAAAAGTACAAGGAGCAGCTTAGAGGTTTGTGTTCCCTGGATACACCACATCTATTTATTATCATTCCCTCACCATGACCCCAGCTTTTTATTTTAGCATGCTGATTCACCTGCTGGTCATTTCTGAAAACCACACAAGACCTCTAGGTTTACATCGCCATACTCTTGGATGAGGGGGAGGATGAAGTGTAAGGGAATGCTGAGATGTGGCACAATATGTGTGCATGCCTAAAGGAGAGTTTATGGAGGCTGCTGCATCTCCTCCTGGTGTCCGCTCACATTTAAAGAGCATTCTTGGCTGTTATTGCCTCCATGAACCTACAGCTTGTAAGATGTGACGTCTCAGTCAAAGAGAGCTTTTTAAATGTCAGAATAACATGTCCGTCTCTTTTCTTGGATTTGGTTTTTTCAATAATTTGCTCATTTAGTCAAAACTGATCAATCAATCACCGGCATCTGGAGTGAAAACTTGAGGAAGTCAAGGGGGTTTGACCACTTGTAGACCTGCGTGAGGAGCGTGATGTAAAAGCTGCCCCCAAAGTGTGTTTGAATCAGCGTGGAATTACCAGAACAGAAACACACACACACACACACACACGCACGCACGCACGCACGCGCGCGCGCACACACACACACACACACACACACACACACAGAGGGCAATGGGAGCTTTTCAGGATAGCTGTGTCTCTGTGTGTGTGTGTGTCCAGTTGGAGGTGTGTGTGTGTGTGTGTGTGTGTGTGTGTGTGTGTGTGTGTGTGTGTGTGTGTGTGTGTGTGTGTGTGTGTGTGTGTGTGTGTGTGTGTGTGTGTGTGTCCAGTTGGAGGGGGTGCAGGGGTCAAATGTAGTTGCTAGATATCTATATCCTAGCAACAGGGAGCGAGTGATATCCTGTACAACTGTAGCTTGGATTGGTCGTGGAGCTGACCCAGGCCCCTCCTATCTGTAGGGCAGCCTAAGAAAAAATATCTAAATCCAAAACATCTCCCAGACCTCCTTTAGTCTGCACTGTACCCTTCCCCCGGCACTTAAATCCAGGCCCGGTTCAGTTTGATTTGACTTTTTATGAATTTATGTAAGGACGCTTCGCTTTTCTCGTTGATTCCATTTAGTACAGTAGCAGTTTTTGATTTTAACGTGAGGTGTGGCATGACAACATGAATTCACCTTACACAGCTGTGCAGTACTACCCAGAGTTCCCCTTCCATAGGTAAGTACTGCTTTGTACAAGATCTCACCGGCTATTTGAGCCCTCCTGTCTAACATGCTGCATGGAAACTACCAATCACTGATGTAATAATTATCTTTACATGTGGTGTAGTTAAGAACATCGACCTGTTCTGCCCCTCACACTGATTCTGCCTGACCTGAGAACAGGTGGATCCTCAGCATTTAATTATGAAACGATTTGGACGGTAACTCCATCCAGTTCAACAACAAACAAATAGATATGGAGGAGACAGAAATTGGCTCGATGTTTATACTTCTGGATTTCTTCACCCTTAAAAACTTAAAGCCCTGCGGCTTTAGCAAAGCAATAATGGTAATATTATGGTGTATTAGGACACTTATCCAGAAATTAGATTAATTTATTCTTACAAATTGGGTTTGTGAGTGAAAAAAACCAAAGTACATAAAGAAAAGTGTTAACTGATGGAGATGGAAAAAACAATTATAGAATATTTATTAAAAAAACAATTATGCAATAGGTTAGCACTAATTAAACACAATAAAAGCACTCTATCTATCTATCTGTCTATCTGTCTGTCTGTCTGTCTGTCTGTCTGTCTGTCTGTCTGTCTGTCTATTCATCTATCTATCATCTGTCTGTCTGTCTGTCTGTCTGTCTGTCTAATCGTTTAGTTATTGATTATTTAAGTTGATAGTTGCTTGTTAGTGTTTGTTTTACTCTATTTTGATCATTTGAACATGAGGCCTGTTATCAGTTAGAACAATACGTTTTTATATCATCAGTTCTGTTGGGTTCCTTATACAGGAAACGTTTTACTGATTATCTTAATGAACTGACCTGTACTGGAATGTTTACTGTGTGAAGTTCCTTGAGACGACTCTTATCGTATTTGGCGCTATATAAATTATTTGGGATGCACCGATACAATACTGGTATCGTTATCAGCACAGATACCGATACCAGTATCGGTATTGGTAAAAGTTAACCGATACCAGGAACCGATTCCAATGCAGTTGCTTGAAAATGGCTTCACTGTAACTTGTCATTTCTGTTCACCTAATATTTTAGTTTTGTGATGATTTCTATTCATATATTTTACTTTTTATCTACCTCACAGTCTTTTCCTGTTGAAAGCAGAGAAGAAAACAAAATCTGTATTCCGAATCATTGCATTTTTTTGTGTGGTAGAAGTATCGGTTTTGGTAATCGGTATCGGCGAGTACTCAGATCAAAGTATCGGTATCGTATCGGTTTGGAAAAAAGTGGTATCGTTGCATCCCTATAAATTAACTTGAATTGAATTGAATTAAATTGTTTCATTTAGTTCATTTTCAATTTCTTTCTGGTCTAATAATTCACAAACTTATTTTTAAGCTAAATCTCCCAACTGTTTCACTTCTAGAGAAGTGGAGATCACTCTGGGGCTTTCTCATTGTTTTGCAGGCCCTCTTGCAGTGGGGGCTGACAGATGGGGGGGGGGGGGGGGTGCCTTAAGCCTTTGAAAAGTGATTAATAATGACACTGGAGAAGGACCCTGATTGCCTGGGCTGTTTGTTTTGATTGCATTTTCATCGGTTGGTGTGCCCAACCTGCCAGGAGACAATGGCTATCCCTGTTTAGTGCTGACCTCTGCTCCTGTCTCGTCTGGAGGCGCTGCGCTGTGTTTAAGTGGATGCTGAACACCCTTTGCCTCTGGCTAGGTCTCCCGGTAACCAGACACCCAAAAGCAGAAAAACAGCCACGAGAAAAGGGACAAATCCATGAAGTGGAGTCGCAGAAAAGTAAAGGTTTCCCTAATTAACTTCTAAAAGAAAGGTTTTAACGTTTGTGCGACAAAAACAAGCTTGTAAAAACGGTTTAATCCTTCATTAATAGTGCAGGATTTTGCTGATTGTCTAAGGTTTTGTGATTTTGTGTGAAAAAGTAAAAAAAAAAACTGGTGTGAAACTAGTGGAAACCTTTCAAGTCTGTGTTATGCAGAAAGTTAAAACTTTAATAAAATAAAATAAAAAACATTAAAGTGTTCAGGATTGAGCAGAAACATTTACCAACCAAATTACTTTAATTGTTATTCTGGTCTCTGGTCGCCCAAATCAAATGCCAGTTTAACTTGCTCTGCTATTGAATGAATTGTGATTGAAGCGCTGGTGTTGCCACGCCTCAGCTGTCTCTCCTCATTCATTAATCCCTACCTGAAAATCCACTAACATCCTATTCATTTGTTCACCTTACATTTATGTTTTGTTTCTATAAATGCATGTTTTAGAGAGATTGTTTTTTTTTTTACAATTTTTTAAAGGTGTGGTTCACTGAAAAACCTTTTTTAAATTATTATTAAGTCGTTAATGTAAATGAGGCAAGACCGGTGTGATATGTTTTCAATAATTTGCTAAACTTTGTTTTGCAATAACTTTTAACTTTGTTTTTCTAGATTAAATTGGAACGTATAAATGCAAAAGCACCACAATAAACATGATTATTCCACTCCGTTTCTACCAATTACGCCATTCCTGGGATCCACTAATTACTCACATTTACCTACATTAATTAAGTAGCTTTATATACGACATCTAAAAAGAAAATAAATAATGTAAATTAAATTGTATCTATCAGATTCAAAACATTATTTTGCTTTATATGTTAAAACTGTAGCTCTAGTGGTGTTTGTCACACTCATTTAGGCGCCTCGGTGTTCAGAAGGAATAACCCATAATTCTCTAGTTCTAGTTATTTGGGCCTAATGTTGTGTGTGTTTTACTTAAGATGTGGGTATGTTCCTCCTGGGCCACTGTCCTGCACGTTCCAGATGTTCTCCTTCTCCTGTACAGCTGATTCTAATCAATAAATGACATCATTATGTAAAAATCTGCCACTGATTGGAATCAGGTTTGCTAGAGCAGGTAAACACCTCAAACATGCAAAGGTCGTGAACCTTGAGGTCTGGAGTCTCGCACGTGTTTTAGATACTTGATACAAACTGATGGTTCACTGACCTGTTTTTGGTAAATCTCAATGGTGTTAATAATAAAATAACTTGAATCAGGTGCGTTAGAGTCACAGTAAATCTAAAACATGCAGACCAGCGAGGACGGCGAGACACTAGCCCGACCTGAGACAGTTCACCCAGAGTAGTTTGTGGCCTCTTGCAGACTAAATATTATTCCTTTACTTGAAACTCTGCTGTACCTCTTGTGTGTCTCCTGCATGAGCTACATTTTTTGCTTCATTAGATATGCCTGTGTTTGTAAGTTAGGTATTAATATCATTCATCACACTGCGTTGGGGAATTCCAACACCCAAAATAGTGCCAGCCCCGTCATCAGCCCACCTCCCAGCTGTACACATACCAGCGGTTGTGGCAGTGCTATCATATAGACGGCGAGGGGAATTCCACTTGTCTCAGAACGCAGCGTGCGCCACTTCAGCAGGAACAATGGCAGGCTGAGCTCCGAAGCAGGTGTAATGTTTCAAGGGAGCAGGTCAAAGTGCTCCTGTCTGAATGGTGCATAATCACCATTATGTGTAGTACAAATATTCAGTATTATGTCGGCTGACTTCTTCACAATGGATGTGCTCTTCATGAATGGCTGCCGACAGGACTCCTCCCTCCTGGCTGGGTGGCCAAGTCTCAGCCCTGCACATCAGCTTCTATCCGCGATGTTAGCTGCCACAGCAGCTCTTAAAAGCATCAGTGTCAAGAAAAAGATGTTTTTCAATAACGTCAAGGAAGGAAATAAGCATTTTGAACATATAGTTGAATAAATGATTGTGGCAAACTGACGACGTGTCTTTGCAGACTCAGGGATCCATTGTCACGGTTGTCCTGGAGAGAAAGTTCATTCCTCACCTCCATGACCCAGAATCAGATGGCACAGACGACCGACCTCTTTGGTCAAGATGTTTTCAACCAGTTGTTTGACATGCTGGACCAGTAAGTGTAGAGTACAAGATGTGTAAAGAACAGATGAAAATGATCCTAAAAGGGTATTCTTCTGCATTTTCCTTCTTTCAGATCTGCCATTCACTCAGTCCAGCCCATAGAGCTGAACTTCACAGACAGTCCAAGAGACGGTTCTGCAGGAAACACCATTCAGATCAGCATGGACTGCATAACCATGCACGGTCAAGATGAGCTGCTTTCTGTAAGTATGTAGGTTCCACATGAAGGAACACTGGTTTGCTGTGTGCTGTGTTTCCGTGCTCCGCCACAGTAGTACCTACTACTGCTGTGTCTGCAAGAGTAGCAGGTAATGGTAGGTACTTGAGAGGAGGGTTCGCGTTACGTCGGGGAACACTAATGTATAGGTAATGTTTAAATACTGAGTAAGTAATGATTTGTTCCTCCTTTGTTCCTTATTAGTCACAGGTTCATTACTTGTTACCTCCATAGTCATTTCCTAGTAACGAGGCACAGTTTGGGGTCCCTTATTGTGAAATGTCGCCCTAAATTTTGATGTTCTAGCACTCATTCCAGGTACCTGACACCACTTTCATTCTACACTGACAGGGCTGTTGGTGACAAATGCTAGCTTTCACACCATGGAGACTGTTTTCAGTTTTTATGTTAACAATGGGATTTCTGGTGAATTGTTGTGCAGCTGAGGTGCGGAGCGGCTCAACACAGTGGTGAACAAGGCTGGCTTATCTTGTTGTCTGTAAGGATATTATCTCACTAGCTGAGCTGTGCTTCACCTGGGTGGCCGCAGCCTGTGAGGACCGTAGCTCAGGAAAAAGGCCGAGGTTTAAACTGCATTTGTCAGCTGACTTTTCCTATTTTAGGACCAAAGTTGTTGGATTATTGAAATAGTTGTTTCTCTTGTAACAGGATAAGGGAAGGCAGACCTTTGTATTCACTTTTATGACGGTAAACATTTTTATAGCATTATCCCAAACTAGTGATGCTTTTTTTTAATTGTTTGGCTCACAAATGCATTATTTTTAAGGAAGCCCTACATTTTCTCACAAATGGACCTGAGGAACATCTGAAACACTTGGCTTATGACATCATTTTCCAACCACGGCTTTACAGGTCCGCAAATGAACGGGTTTGGGTGGTAGAGTGAGCCACTCCAATCCAAACTCTGCACCTCTCTAGAAAAGATCTCTCCTACGTTCACACTGCAAGAAAAAGTGGCCCAAATTTGACCTTTTATGTCACCTTGTCTATTTTCTCAGTCTGAAGAGTTACTGTGGTAACTAAGTCAGATGCATATCTGATGTTTTTTCAAAGCAACTTTAGTTTAACCCTTCAGGCCAGGGTCCGAAATTAACACTCACCACTCGCCAAATGCGAGCAAATTGCTCCATTTGGCGAGTAAATTTTTGAGCTCTACCTGCCACCTGGCGAGTAAATGTTTGCACCAAATTAGTTATGTTTATCAGTCATCTTCCATGATTTTCTGATACTCCTCCCGCCTGCATGCAACGTACACAAACGTACGCGAAACGTGAGCGCCGCATCCAACGTCATTTCCACCTATCCCATTCAGTCAGTTTATCAAGTTAGCAGTTAGCTTCGTGTTAAAACTAGCGGTGAAATGTGGCGGTTTTTAACTGCAGTCAGCCAGCCTTCCAAAAGAAAACTCGTCGAACTGGAAGAAAAACCACCAGGACCAGTGGCAACCAGAAGATTTTGTGAAAAGTGGCGAACCGGAGATGGCGGAGTCGTGAGACAATGGCTACATTATGATGGCCAAGTAGCGCTGCTGCCTTTCACAGACAACTGGCCCTCGGCATTCTTCAAATATCCAGTAAAAGCCCGTACGTCCGACTTTGTCTTCTTTGAGGGATAATTAGCTTAAAGAAAGTTTTGGTTGTAAACAACAAAGTGTGCATGTGTCGCCGGCAACTTCAACAGATGATACGTGTCAGAACCCAAGCCCCCAGACCGGCCTCTCCCAGCTAACCGGCCTCCATATTGGACCACATTTCCCAGCATGCTCCTCGCGGGAACTCCCGGCATTCTCCCAGTCACACCCAAGCCTATATATGGAAGATGCTGCACCGGCTCTTCACTCAGTCATCGTTTCATTGAAACCCCTGATCAGAGTTCTCTACCGAATAATCCAGATATCAAACATCTTTACAAAGCTCAACTCCCGTACCCAGTCGACCATCGTGACAGGATGACTGAGTCCGTAGATCCAGCGGAGTTTGAGCGCATAAAAAGAGACTGAGCAAATGGAAAATGATCTCATTCAGCTCCACGCCCTGATCGATCGGCTCCACACCAAACAAAACTCCCAGACCGATCTCATCCTACAATTATCCACAGCCCTCCATGCTCTCCAGCAGCAAGCCCTCGCTCCACTAACAGAGGGGCCGCACTTTAGTCTCCCAGAGAGGTGGAACGGAGAGACGGGGAGCCCAGACGGTCTGCTCGCCACCCTCGACATGCAGTTTGAGTGCCAGCCAGGGCGCTTCCCCACTGCGCGCTCTCGGGTGGCGCATCTCACCTCCCTGCTCTCCGGACGCGCGGCTGAGTGAGCCGCTGCGCTTTATAATTCCAAATCACCGGCTTGCAATGACTATGCTGCTTTTGTGTCCGCCCTCAGAAAGACTTTTGTTCCACCCAGCAGCGAAGTGGGAGCAGAAACACAACTCCTAAAGCTCCGCCAGCGGGAGCGCACGGTGTGCGCTTATGCGTCGGAGTTTCGCACCATCTCCGCCAAGCTGCGGTGGGATGACTCTGCCCTCCGAGCCGTCTTCTTGGAGGGACTGGCGACCTACATCCGTGATGAGATGGCGGGAAAGGAACTGCCCCAGACCCTGGATGAAGTGGTCGATTTGGCGCTGCGCATGGATCAGCGGGTTCTGGTTCGGCCCAAGCCCTTCACTCGCCCATCCAGGCGCCTGGACCTCTTCCTCGTTCCCCCACGCCTGCTCCCGGACCCGCTTCTACTGATGAGCCCATGCAATTAGGCCACCTTCCTCCAGAGGAGAGACGGCGACGGTGGCGCGAGGGTCTCTGTGCCTATTGTGGCTCCTCCCACCACAGACGCCTGAACTGTCCATTACGTTTGGGAAACGAAAGAACCCACTGAGTATCGGGGTCGCTCAGCCTGGGTCACCTTCAGCCCCCGCCTCTTCAAATCGACTCCTTCTTCATGTTACCCTCCTTCATGGTGAGACCTCACTTCAGATGCACGCACTGTTGGACTCGGGGGCCGCTGACAATTTTATGGACATGGATCTGACTAAGCGCCTACGGATCCCCATGACCCCCTTGGAGAGAGTTGTGCCTGTGACCTCGGTGGATGGTAGGCCCCTCCAACCCTATCCGATCCAAAACCGAACCCAGCCACTCCAGATGATTGTCCAAGGCCACCGAGAGACCCTCCAGTTCCTGATCATATGTGCTCCCTCCTCTCCTCTAATCCTGGGATTTCCCTGGCTCCGTTTCCACGACCCCCGGATTTCCTGGTCCCAGGGCCGCATTTTGGAATGGGGGACCCAGTGCCAGGCCCACCTCTCTCCTCCTACATCCATGCCAGACCGCCCGGATGGTGACACTGGCCAAACACCGCCCAATCTGCCGCTGCCCTACCGGGACCTGGCTACGGTGTTCGACAAGCGGCGCGCCACCACACTGCCGCCTCACCGCCCGTACGACATGGAAATCAAGCTGCAACCAGGAACCAGTCCACCCCGGAGGTGCCTTTTTTCTCTCTCTCCCGCCGAGTCCAGAGCCATGGAGGAATATTGACCAGGCCCTCCAGCAGGGTTTCATTCGACCTTCCTCCTCCCCGGGTGTCGCAGGCTTCTTCTTTGTCAGGAAAAAGGAGGGTGATCTCCGCCCCTGTATTGATTACCGAGGTCTGAACAAAATCACAGTCAAAGACCGTCATCCTCTGCCGCTCCTCACATCTGCCCTGGACGCCATCTCCCAGGCGCGGATCTTCACCAAGCTGGACCTCCGGAGCGCCTACAGTCTGGTCCGTATTAAAGCTGGAGATAAGTGGAAGACCGCTTTCATCACACCCACCAGTCACTGGGAGTACCAGGTCATGCCCTTCGGGCTGTGCAATAGCCCCGCCGTTTTTCAACGCCTCATAAACGATGTCCTCCGCGACATGTTGGGACGGTGGGTGTTTGCCTACCTGGATGACATCCTGATCTACTCCAAGTCCGAGGCCGAACACCTCCACCATGTTCGCGCTGTTCTAACCCGGCTCCTGGACAATAACCTGTTCTGTAAGCCCGAGAAGTGCTCCTTCCACCAGCGGTCCGTATCATTCCTGGGCTACATGATTTCGGATAAAGGACTAACCATGGACCCTCAGAAAGTCCAGGCGGTGAGAGACTGGCCCCTCCCGACAAGCCTGAAACAACTGCAGAGTTTTCTGGGTTTCTGCAACTTTTACCGCCGTTTTATTAAGGACTTTAGCACCATTGTGGCACCTCTCTCTTCTCTCACCCGACCAAGCCCTCCCAGCCAACCGTTCCGGCTGACTCCAGACGCCGTTCGGGCCTTCCAACACCTTTAACGTCGGCTCCTATCCTCCGCCATCCGGATCATGCAGTCCCCTTTGTGGTCGAGGTCGACGCCTCGGATGTTGGCGCCGGTGCCATCCTGTCCCAAGCCGGGCCTGACGACAGGCTTCATCCCTGCGCCTACTTCTCCAGGAAGTTTTCCACCACCCAGCAGAAGTACGGCGTAGGGGATCGCGAGCTGCTGGCCATAAAGTGGGCATTGGAGGAATGGAGGCAGTGGCTTCTGGGCACCACTCAGCCGTTCACCATCTGGACGGACCACCAGAACCTGACCCACATCAGATCAGCCAAGCAGCTCAATCCTCGCCAGGCCCGCTGGGCCCTCTTCTTTGAGCCCTATGAATTCCATCTCGCCTACCGCCCAGGGACAAAGAACCAGAAGGCGGACGCCCTTTCCCGCCAGTTCACACATCCAACGCCCACGTCCGAGCCGGCACCTATCCTCCCCGAGCACCGTTTCTTGGCCCACCTGAGGTGGCCACTGGAGGAGGCTATCCAAAATGCCCTCCAAGACGATCCCGCGCCTCCAGAGACCCCCGCGGGTCAGCTCTACGTCCCCACGGCCTGTCGCAGCGAGGCATTGTCCTGGGCCCACTCATCACGCCTGTCTGGCCACGCGGGCTTCTCACGGACTCTTAGGTTCCTCAAA